GAGCATGCACGATTGAACACTGGTGCATTTAGCAGACAGCTGCATGGACTCGCCTTGAGGGCTGAAACACAACTGAACAAACACGAGAAACGTGTTACATTTAAGCTGAAAACGACGGTGGTGTGGTTATATTGATTGTAAGTAAATGTGTATACAGCAGTAATGGGTAAATTTTCCTCGCATCTGTTACCCGTTGAAAATTTACTGCCGTCCGACTTTATCAGGAAAATTTTGACGAACGGTGCGCGCGCGCAGGCAAGACCTGAGCTCGAACACCACCTGGCGGTCAACTTTGTGAGCTCGTGACGTCGAATTACTTTTTACTTTAACTAAAGTGTCATCTGGAATGTTTTGTTTTCGCCATAGCAGTGTAATCGCGTCGGAGTAGGTAAAGTCGTCATAAACGTATATCTGCGCGACATAATTCGATCTCGCGTCATTTCTCGTCGGAATTCGTCGAAATTTAGCCTTTATTTTTCCCTTCCGCCGAATAAAACCGTAAACGTTCTTTTTTTTTTATCGCGCCAACGCGTAATGTAATAATAGCGGCAGCCCATGCGCGGACCATGCGTTATGAACGCACGCGCAGTGTCGGCGTGCTGCGGTCAGGCTTTCGAGTAATTGCCATCCGCCTCGCGGTTAAGTGAGTGCTTTTTATGATGTTATTGCACCGCATGATCATCCCGCATCGCGTTTTTCTTCCCCCCGCGTAATGGCGCGCGCCGGACCAGCAACTAGCGCATATAGGTGGCGTACAATAGTAGCCTTCTACAAATTGTTCACCAATGTTGCACTATATATATATATATATATATACATTATTTCGTCCATGGAAAAGGCCTTCTTCTGAATTTCTACGTAGAGTACACTAATTCGATTTATGCGCGCACGGTAGATGACTCGTGGACGATGAGGTGCGACCTAGAGGTGGTGTACAACAGTAGAGGGCGTCCATAGGCAGCAGGCCTGAATGAGCATCAAACAGAGATTAATTAAAAATACGTTTAGAGAGAGTTTCGAATGAATTTCGAAAAATGGCCGACTGGTCCCTATGGCTACGCCACTTGACGCGATGGCACAATTACACGACAAGACCAATCTCACTTCTCATGCTTTCCAGACGTCCACAAGGCCTCTCTTGTTTGCGTGCATAATGCAAACTATTGCACTCTAGTGCCGAATTTTACTGCCAAAAAATAAAGACGAAACAGAGCAAATAATATATATATATATACGAATTGGCGGAAGACTACTGTTGTATACGACCTATAGTAGCTGCAGGCGTTGCCAACTTCACATCACGGTCCGCGGGCACTGCATGGCTTCTCGTCTGTTATCGACGCCATTAATCGCAGCTTTGCAATTAGCGTAATCAGCAGCAGTTCAGTCAGCTGGCTGTCCGTTTTCTTTGCCGGGAATACTGCGGCGCGCGGTGTTGTGTGTGTGTGTGGGGGGGAGGGGGGCGATGTAACCAGTATTCACTTCGCTTAACAATTGTATTATATAATAATAACCGTTATTAAAAACCTATAAAATACAAGTTTAATAATAAATATACTTATATATATATATATATATATATATATATATATATATATATATCTATATATAATGAACTCAAAGTCCATCTTCAAGTAATAGGCATGTTAGAAATCAATTTTCCAGAATTTTGTAGCTCTTTTTTACATGAACCAGGGAAATCAGAATCTGACGAAGCAAGGAGACAATCTCGTTGTTACAATGGGTTGCTTATTAAGCATGCATTAAGCTTATTAAGCATGCATGCATGGAAACGCGCACTGCAACCCCCTGATAGAGACTAGAAATGTTTGGCAGCGTGGCGTTCTTTTTAAGCTGGAGTGAATATTCCTAACACAATTTTCAGTTCTTTACTGAAACATACGAAGTGATTCAAGTGTGAATATGGAAAGGATGTTACGATACACTTGTATAAATACTTCACAACTTACGGAAGAAACACTACTGTTTCTGTTATATACTAAGCTATATATCAGTTACATGCCTAGCTGACACAGTCATGTCGTGAGAAGCCGATTATGTATAAGTTTATGAAATGCATTCATACTCGGTTTGTATTGGCAATTATATTTACATTTATATCTTTACAATAATATGTTGGATATATTTCACTAGCATTTGTAAATATACGTGAACGTGGGACGATGATAATGCAAGAAATAGCGATTCACACACCGCGCGCCGCGCGCACACACACGCACGCACGCACGCACGTAACGTACACACATACGCACATATATATAATATGCGTGCTAGCGTGAGCTGGTGGTGGTGGTGGGGAGGGACTTGATCCCGAAGCGCGAGTGGATTTCATGTGTAATGTGTTTTACGAGGCATTTTTCTCGGTAATTACTGGAATGCTGAATGGCATGGCTTACGTGGTATAAAAAAACTAATGCTGATTGACTGAATCCCATAATCCAAACAGAAATTAATATTGCCCTCGCATTTTACAACGTTAAAAACGTCGTTGATAAATGAATTCCATTGAGAGATGAATTAAAATGAAATCTCGTCAGACTAAATGCAGAAATAACAAAAGATGCAAGCATGAGCAACGAATAAATATAGTAAGAACTGTCCGAAAGAATATATGAAAGACATTATATTAGTAATAAATCCACATATAACAACTGGCCAACCTCTGTGGTTAGAACTATTGAATAGTTTAAGTTCTTTCCCTGCATGCATCTTACTTTCCGGTTTCAGTTTACTTCGGAATTTTACAAGAATTATATTTCATTATATTATTATTATTGATATTCTTTGGTGGTTCATTATATCAGTTTTCCTTCATATTCAGCAATCCTAGGCCAGTTTAGCTTCGCTCACGAACTACTCATATACGCAACAATTGGCGCACTCATTCCATACACACACACTCATTACTTGCTTAAACACTCATTTTATAATGAAATCATTGCTTGCTTATTCAATTACAAAATTGGCTGCAACGGTCTCGTTTCCGGATTATAAGTTATTATCAGGAGTCTATCAATATTGATAGACTCCCTGTTATTATTAACGATAATAATCTATAACTTATTTTCTAACTAAATAATTGGATTATTTGAATAACATGGTCTGTGTGT